GTATGAGTCAAAACTAATATCATATTGGTAATTGGCACTAGTCAGAGCCCTAGTTCATTAATATTTTGACTGAAACTATTTTTTTATCGAGTTATTGTCAGTATAAAATTCTGATTCCAACTCAAGACTTTTAAAATTCCTGCTATTCCTTTGAATCGATCGAAAAATAGCGAAACACTTTGTTTCAAAGTTCTCGACCCACCTCTTATAGAATTTATTATTTTCATGAAACTGAACTTCTATAGATAATTGTTAAAAGAGAAAGCATTTAGAAATAGATAAAATGATAAATATAATGAAGCTAATTTAACTCTTGTGAATAGCTCAAGGAGAAAAAATGCAAAAAAATCAGTACTTCATCCGTAATTCGCTATACTCTGAGAATTTGTTATGATACTATCGTTGAATAAATTTGTCTATTCTTCAATGATCTTAAATGCTTCTGATTACTGTTATAATTATTGAAACGATTGACATCAAGTTCTCATTCATTTTCTCAGAAATTTCAAACAATAGATAATTTCAATAGATATTAGACTAAGCAGTAATTAGTATTTTATTTCATAACAGTCAAACAAAATACAATCAAATAATAAAGATAATTTCCTAGGCTTCAAAGAATTCGAGTGGAAAGATGTACGAGTACAACACTTGTTTTATAAGAAATATATTCAAAAACATAATCACATAGTTACAATCACATTAGATAACAGATATACATCTAAAAATATAAATGCAAACAACAATTGTATACAAGACTATTATATGATGAACTAACTAAAATCTTTATCTAATAAAAGAACTGAAATTCTTACAAACAAGACTAACTAATAAACATATTTGCTTGCAAGTCTTTTGGTTCACAAGTGAGTCTCTTAACATGAATTTCACAATAAAAACAGTATGACGATATTCGAATAATAAATTGAATAAAATTCTTTCCTAAAAGTACGAGCCAAAATAATATACAAAAAAAATGGTGTTGCGAAACTATTTTGAAATAGAACACGATAAATGATAAAAATCGAGTATAAACTAGATGTTGGTTGGTAAATGTTGGAAAAAGATAAAAGTAGATTGACTACACATAGAGGAAAAGTAAGGAGTAATTGAACTCCTACTTGAACGAGAAACATTAGAATAAGTTCATTTTCAACTAGATGATAATGTGACAGTTTTAAAGTTATTGTATAATACCGTTATATGTTACATATCGTCATACAACCGAAGAGTAACATCAGTAGAGATGCCAGGCAAGAAAAGAGAATAAATTGAAAGATATGGTAGTCTTGAGCAAGAGCTGAATTACCTCGAATACGACAGCCAAGTGCATCACTGGTATTTAAATCCGTCATTACGAATAAATATGATGAACAAGAGTGAAAAAAATATAATAACAATAAAAATCAACCATTTAACCTTACAAACATTACCGAAATGACGTCCTTGCTCACTTATTGAACTGACAGACCATCTATCAATGAAAGCCAATACAATGAAAGATAATGATAATACTGATAGAAGAGTTCGAAAATAACTGAGCAGTTTACATGAGATTAACGAGTGAGTACTTAATCTTATTTCATATCCATCAGCTAACAGACTAGGAATGAGAATAGTTGTTGAATATATTAAATTATTCATTGAAAGTGCAATAAAGTAAAGAGAACATGTATGTTTTCGCATTTTACATTGACGAAGTACAACAATGTTCGATACATTGCCTATCAGACTGACAAAGATAATCATAGGAAGTGTAATTTTAGAAAGATAACTATGAATTTTCTCTAATAAATCAACCATGTTTTTTATGATGTAACGATAACACACGGTTCCATGAATGCTCCTGAGTATTTTTTGAATAACTTTTCATAGAAACAAGATAGAGACCTGCGGTTTTCATCGTTGGAAAGAGGAGATGAATATGCATTGAATCTTATATTATAGGTTTTCTTAATATTGATTTGTGAAGTATTTTTATTCAATTTTCTAACTGTCGGAAAAATGTCTTTTTTTTTATGAAAAAAAGAAAAAGCATGAAAGTAAGCTTTTGTCACAGATTTTGCTAGAAAATCGTATTAGAAGCCCGATTAGAATACATACGATTCATCTCAGCTTTCCACACTTTGTAGATCTTCGATTAGTAGTTTGAATTTATAATTGAGAATTGAAAGTTCATCGTGAACAACTTACCAGATAGATTCGTTCTTAAAAAAGTTAATTGAAAAGCTTTGCAAAAACAGATCAGAGAATCATGGAATACATGATTTGATATATCTTCATCTCCTCTTTCTAACGATGAAAACCACAGCTCTCAATCTTGTTTCTATGAAAAGTTATTCGAAAAATACCCACTCGTATTTTTTAAAATGAGTATTAATATAGCCAGCACATATGATAAAGAAACATATTTTATTGAAAGTTTATTATTATGATATTAGTTGAAGTATGATCAAATAGCATAGAAAAATAGAACATTTTTTTCTCTATCAGACTATATAGAGAGAAAGTTTCTTAGAGCTTTTTATAACTAATTTCCAAACCTACGCTAATACTTTTTGTATGCCCTAAATAGATTCATATATGATACACTATAGACCTAGCTTCGTCTACACTCAGATTCAAAATCTCTGATGCACATGTTTTCTGATATCTGAATATCCTTAGTTTTCTCATGACATGTCTCTTAAAAAATAAATGTTATTATTCATGATATATGAATTTTGTTCAGTAAAATTCTTACTTCAAAATGACGAAATAGTCTTTAACGATTAAATATTTGTATACTCAGTTATATATATATACATGATTAATCAGTCCAAGAAATCTTGTTAAATAGTTGAATTAAGGCTTATTTTTGATTTAAAGAACACAACAATCATTCTGAATCATATTAAAGTGGAATAGACAGACAACAGATAAGGAATAAATTTTGTTTCTACAATTTACTTTTATAACCTAGACGACATTGTACTCTCGACTACATACATTAGAAGCAGACAGTTAGATGAACATAAGTCAATTCCCATTTCTAAAACTAATCCTTCCATTTCAGCCAACATGAATATTTAAATAGATTTTCAAAGTAATAGCAAGGTTTTTTATTTAGTTGATATAACATACGATAATATTTAATTAGATCAACAATCATAATTCTAAGTAAATTTACTTCTCTCTTGCAAAGTAACTTATTTCTTACAGACATAACTCATACCTTATGTCTTTCAAAGATATAATAACTTTATTTTTTTTTTCTACAAAATATCAAAGAAGATGGTGCTTTTTATATTACAAATTTTATTGAAACAAAAAAAAAAACCCAAGAATAATCAACAGATTTCTGCATGAGCAAAATAGTCTTTTAAATTTGGAGAACAAAATTCTGGTTGATTGCATAAAAATAGATATTTGATTTTGGAACAATTCATTCGTGTTGTATCACTTGTAAAATTGTCTGTTACTCTTTGTAAAGTATTATAATCCACACGAAAACAAATATTATGTAATAAAGACAGTTTAGTATTATTCAAAAATTGTTCCACATAATTTTCATGAGTTTTAAGAAGATCAAGTTGCATAAGATAAGAATATTCAATGATTGACCATTGTTGATTGTCATTCTTTTGTGGTTCTCGATTATCTACATGTAATTCTTCGACACATGGAAATGATTTAGCAATTCGAAGAAAAAATTCATGTTCGAAAGGACGTTCATCAACTAATGAGAGTTTAAGAACAGATTTAAATAATCCACCACGAAAACTATTTGTTATATTATCATAATCTGTCCATATATATGGATATGAATAAATATGACAATGAAATTCATTTGCTTTTGGAAAACAATCAATTGATGAAATAATTTGATTTTTATTTGCAAAATTTTTAAATGTATGTTGAATATGTTCATTTGATGGTAAATTAATTTGATTATTAATTTGAATAACTGAATGAATATTAAATTTAAATTTCTTTAATTTTGTCATATAATTCATAATATTCATTTTCAAATCATTACCATCTATAATTGGTGTATTATGATTGACAAAACATAAACTAAGTTCTTCTAAGTTTAACATTCGATGTAAAAGTGGAATAAGAAAATTATTGTAAGCCAATAACACCGATTTCAGAATTAATGTAAAGCATTGTAAATTGGGAAGTTTTTTCTATAAAACAAAAAAAAACGCCAATTAATCAATGTAAATATTATTCATTCACTCAAATGAAAAAAGATTTTAATATGGCTAACTTACTTCATTATTGATCAATGGTAACACAGGACCATCAGACGAACAAATGGTAACATAGAATGTATTAAGTCGATTGAATCGACCATCAAGTAAATAGAGACAATCTTCATAAGTCTCTACGACGACACGCAATTCTAATAGAGTTGATGAAAAAATTCTTGGAGGTGATGGACCAAATGTTAATCGATCATAATGAGAAGCTGAAGTTGGATTGAAATTTAAAGTTTTTAAATTCTCGAACCAAGTAAAGATTTGTCTATATATGAATATATTTATATCTTTAATTGAAGTCGACTCTTGACAACGTTTACTAATATGAACCACAAGTGATGAAATTTGATTTTTGAAATTTTGAATTAAATAACTTCCATCTAAATAAATATTAAAATATTTTTTTTAATTGACCTTATTTATAAATCAATTTCCCATAATTTTTATTTAAAATCTCTGATAGAATATATTGTATCGTCAACAATATGCTATTTTATATTGATCATTTATTTTATATTATAAACGTCTTTCTTGATGAATCAATGAGTATTAATTGAAGACTTTACAAAGTAATAATAAATGTATTCTCTTACAAATCATGTCTTTATTGTGAAATCTCTTCAATAACTCATTTTTAACAATAAATATTTTATCAAAAACTGTCTGTCATAAATCACATGTTGACTATATAACGATAAATGATTTTGATATTTTTATCCAATTAATCAATGATCGAGTCGAACAAAACAAATATCTTACCGGTAAATAGATCTCGAGCTGTTTCTGATGCAAGATTACATAAACCAAGGCCGTATAAATTCGGATAATTTGTTGAACGAAGAAAACGTTCCATAGACGATGATTCAACATTGATCCATCCGATTTTATGATGAATTTTAGGTAAAATTTTCGAACAAAATCGATCAAGTATTGGATCAGTAAAGTTAAGAAAACCATAAGGAGGTACTGTCAATGTTAAATATGCTGTAAAAAATGAATCTTGCACAATAGTATCAAGTCGTTTATTAACACCTATTAAAGAATAGAGTACATCACAACTATGCAGTTTTTTCAAAATCATCATAAAAATTTCATCAGGTAAATCATTTAATTGAATAAGTGAATCTTCCATCTTTATTTTGACGTATGTGATTTTTTTCCTTTTGTTATCTATATATATATATACTCATGTCTTTTATTTGACTAATGTCTTTATTATTTTATATTTAATTAAATTTTTTCTTTTCTTATGTTAAGAACGGGTGTCATCCATAAAAACAATGATATATTATTCTATAGTCTTAGTTGATAATGAACGAATGAATAATCTATTGATTGAATGATATTTTTTTTTTCTTCTCTCTCTGTTTTTATTCGACCTTGAATTTCATATTTGCTGATAAACAATCAATAAATGTTTTATGCTTTTTTCGAATATAAAATCCGAAACTGTTGTATGTTATATGTCAAGTAGATAGTTCAAAAGAAAAGCGTCAATCCTCAAACAACAGGATCTGTCAGCATTTAGAATATTTATTACAAAATTAAAGAACTTTGTATTATCTGATGACCCTCTCACTTGCTCTTACCAAAGAATAGAACATTTCTTCATGCATTCTTTCTCGTATAATGATAAAGAAAATTCATGATATTGTCGAATATCATAATTTAAATAACAAGAAATAAATTCCATTAAACTATAATTTTAATAGAAACAACCAAATATATTATTCATATTCAACATTGGATCATATTCACTAAGTACAATCACTTGGGAAAGTTCTAACGCAACTCGTCTTCCATCACCTAAAGCAAATATACAAACTCATACATAAAAAAATTCAATTCAATTGTTTGTTCTTACCGATATCATCCAATTGTTAATGTTTTACATAAGATTGATTTTTAATGGTAACGATATCAGATCTTTGTATTTATTTAAGTAATGTTTCAAGTATTCTAACTGAATCATATGATTGTACTCGAATTCGGTTTTGAATAAAATCGAAAATACTTTGTAATTCATGAGTTTTGACAAGATCAATGAGTAACAATCGAAGTTTATTCTTTTGTCCTCTTTTCTTATGTGATTGAACGGTTTTAGTAGCCGAAAGTGATGAAAAAAAAAATAATAAGATAAAGAATATATTTATTTTTATATATTGTAGATTACAGAAACAAAAAAAAAATTAATGAAAATATTTTAGATTGTTTTTCCAAACATCTTGTCTACATGCCATATCTGGTCGTTCAGTACGAAGATTACTATCATTCGTGGTGATTGATTTGTGTTCATCACTTGTAACACAACGTGTTGCATACCCAGGTCTATGGATACGGCTATTCGTATTTTCACCGTAATTTGCGTTATACGGCACCGTAAACGGACCATATTTTCTCGTAATCATGGGCACAGTAATACGGCACCGTATACGAGGCCGTATTTTCACAGTATACAGCCGTATACGGGGCGTAATCTCATTATGATAGGGCCGTATTTCTGTGCCCGATATTACGGCCGTATACGGTCCGTTTATGCGTCGTAAGGTAACCGTAAACGGTCGTTTACGGACCGTATCGTTTGACCTGGGTTCCGTCATTTTTGCTATCATTAGTATCTATACTGATGTATTGAAAAAATAAAACATATCGCTGATGTAATAATATCGATAGTGGAATAAGACTACTTACCAGCCGATATCGAGATATGTTTATTTTGTAATGTGAGTCTGCAAGTGATATTACTTCGTATTTATAGTTGTTGATAATTTTTCGTGTTTTCCAACATAGAATGTTTGTCTGAATCAATCAAGTGTGACTTTTTTATTTGACGGCTTCTTTTTTTTACATTAAAATATATCGTTCTATGTACAAGACGTGCTTGGCGTATGCTTCCTCCATGTTTTGCTTTGGGTTTTTTCCTGGTGAAAAAAAAGCAAACGATGGGCATCTTATCATTTTTATTATCGATTTCAGATGAGCAGGAGAGAGACTGTAAGCATATAAGGTGTTTCAAATGTATAAACTTTGAGTTCATATTGTATGATGCAAATATTTCTGACTTCACTTCGGAATAAATATAAAAACTACGAAAAGAATAAAGAAGAGTCATTGAAGCTTTTTAAATGAAATAACCAATGCACCAACACTTCGCGCAATATGTTAAACTATTACCAGGATGAAATTCTGGTATGGGTGTGATTGGCAGTTGAAGTGAAGTGAGGACACACGCACATCCACACCCCACACCCACCCTCCCTCTTATTTTTATATTTTTATTCAATGTTGACAGAACTTTTGGTCAGCTCTAAATACAAAGCTTCTATTTTTCAATGAATGGAAGTTTTTAAATTGAACATTTGGTAGAATTACTTTTAATTCTTCATCTGGAAAAGTATGCGATGAAATATAATTATGAATTTGAAATTTGAAAAAAAATAACAGTGGAGAAATAAAATCAATCGTGCTGATATTTAAAGATTCTATTTGTGAACCAATACATGAGAGAATATTTTACTAAAGACTTAAATTTGTTGTTCATAATTCTAAATAATGTCAATTTTGTAACAATAAAATTATTCAACCGTTGACTGAACAAAAAGAATGTTTACGATGCCAATGTGAGAAGGGAGAAGAAACACCGATGCCTACATCTGCATCCAAACCCACATTCTTAGTTTGCTCTTCAAGAATAGTTCAACGTAATTCAAATAGTTCAATGATAGAAAACTTTTCAAACTCGTTTACTCTCAAGTTCCATTTCACAGAAACTTGTTGCACCAGAATTTATTCAGTTAATATCTAGTACTGAGCGTGAGCTTACAATTTTAGTAGCAAAGTAGAATTTTAGTTAGACCAACTGAAAACAAGACTAAGAAGTTCTTTTGAAACAATTCTTCTTGAAAATATCATATCATTTCAATGTTATTACTTCATTCGCCTCGTTAAACGATTAACATATTACTATCAAGCCTGATATTGTTTAGTTTTATTAGTGTCATATTCTAATGCAAATCACATATTTCATTCTTACACAATTTTGTTGACACTAATGTTGGGATTTTTTGATGATATCAAATGTTTTATAGAACAAGCAGATGACAAAAAATCTTGAAAAAGAACGCTCCATTCTTCGGAGGAATAAACAGTTCCAGCTCCTATAAATTATCTTATCACATCATAAGCACAGGTACATAGTTTCAAGGTTTTTTTTACAATATTTCAAGCACTTATTCTATTCTCACCTGACGAGCATTGTTATCTAAGTGTTCTTGTCTAGAAAGCGACTTTCTCTCATGAGTACGATAAACAATGAAACCGTTGTTGACCATGAACCAACATCAAATCATAATGCTCAAGATGAAACAAATTTGACTGAACAAGCCAAGAGTGAATTTCGGTTTCTACAATGATATTTTTCGTAGTTGTGAGTCCTGTTGTCAATCGATACTTCATCATGAATCTATCACAGAATATGATCGACAGTTTGTTTTAGCCCATATCGACAGATCGCATCTATACTGTAAACAAATTCTGAACAATGTAGCTGAGAACAAATCGATTCTGATAGTCAAGGTCTACCGATCAAGGCGCCTTTAGTCATGCCTGGTCTACCTAGGACTATCACAATATGACTCTACAATTTACTAGCTTGTGATATACATTGTCGGACACCACTGTACACGGATATGTGTGGTGATATTGTTTCACCGATTGCTCGATCCGATTCGATTCAACAACAGCAACGAATAGATAAAATGCTATCATCTGTAAAAGCAATAAAACATTTTACTGGTTTTTGAAGTCGTGTAGCTGAAGCTCATCCATTTATTTCTATTGAAGAAGATTATTTCATTACCCGTCAAACCAGTTATTTGCTCTTCTTCACTTATTTTGGTCTTAATAACGAAATCCATTCAGACACTTGGCTGAAGAACGAGATGAGTAACGACGATGTCTATGATTATCATGAGATTTTCTTGTGCATGTTGAATTCCGTGGATATGCCACCATCACATTGGTTATTGAAATCTCCAACGCATTGTTTACATTTCGATATATTTCTTCGTCACTTTCCTAATACATGCTTTTTCATCACTCATCGACGTCGCGACGAAACTCTTCCTTCGTTATGTAGCTTATCATGTGTATTAGCTCGATCAGGATTTGAACAAATCGATGTAATCAGTCGAAGCCAAATTATGAAACGGTGTTGCCAAGTGCCCTGTCGGATTACCAATTGTATTATGAAGTTTCATGAAAGTCAAAAGCAAAAGGTTGATTCAACACGAAAAATTCTTTTCAATATGACGTATGATGATTTGATGAATGATCCTATTGATGTTGTTCATCGAATATACGATTATTTTAGTCTTGATTCGACGATGAAATTCGAAAAGGCAATACAAAAATAGCTTATGGAAAATTTTCAAGGAAAACAAGCCCGTCATTCATATTTCTTAGCAGATTTTGACTTAAAACGTGAAGAGATCGAAACACCATTATGCTGATTACACAAAACTCTTTTTGTCATTATGATTTGTACTTTTAGGCAATGAGATGTATGTGTGAATTGTTTTCAATTCGAGGAAAAAAGTGAAGACTTTCGTTATGTTTATCGGTCACTACAACTGGTCATTGAGTACTAGGTAATCTTTGAATTCAGCAGAAATATCTTTAGCAGGTTTCAATCGACGGTGATCGAGTACAATAATCTTCGTTTTCGTTTTTCTCTACTCTCACCGGGCAAAACGATCAAGTTCTATCTTATATTAAGTTTCGTTCCAATGAACACGATCATTGTCATTGAGCGTGCTCACGAATAATCGAGAATTGTAAATGGAGCAACTTTTACATAATGAGTATGCGTGTTGTGTAAGGATGAATCTAATCTTTACTTACGTCCACACCCACACCCTAGAAATACAGGAACGTAAGCCAATGAAAGATAAACTTCAACAAACATTTGTTCATCTTTTGAGAACATAGCAAAAAAAATAAAATGTGCATAAACGAAAGAGAGATAAGGGTTTTTATTAGTTCGAATTTTAGTTATGATTGTCGTTAGTTACTCGACCCGTTTGAACCATCGATGAGCTTTCACTGATCCGCACGTGATGTCCTTTATGAAACAAGAAACCAAGTTTTGATCGTTAAACAAAACATGAAATAACTTACAAGCTGTTGTTGACCTTGATCGTTTATAAAGCGAGTCGCTATCCATTCTTTTCCATGTTTGTCACGTGTCGAATGTTCCCATACACCATTTTTGAATCGAATGTTTGTCTAAAATATTAGATGAATCTATTATATCGGAAAACAGAACAGTCATATTGTGTAGAGAGATTGACCTTGACTTCACGCCCATCAGCCGTTTTATCATCGAACTCAACATCCGGTGTAAATTCGATCGTGCTCGTTTTGAGTGTGCTCTCCGATCGTAATGTCCACTTGCCACCGTTCTCACTGATAACAAGGCGGGGTTTGATACCTTTGGCCATCATACGAGCTGCCATTCCGATGCCGATTTCCTTCATAAATGCGTCCATATTTTCATCTTTGATCTAATGATAGAACTGAATGCAATGAAATAGAAAATCATCCACTTACATGATCCCAGGTACCTTTTAGGGCTTCGATACTGTTGCTACCAGCCATTACTTATACACTTGCTTAGGGTAGACAACTGTAGAAGGCGAACTGAAGCAAGGATCAAATAACTCTTCCAGATGAATAATTTATTTGAAGAAAAAAATACAACAAATGAGTAAAAAAAGAGATAACTTCAATTTCGTGTCAAGAATATCGATTAACCGACTAGTTCAACTACAAAACACCCCGCACTAACATCTACTATACGTATCTCAAACAATCACTGACACATTGAAGTTCACTTCAAAAAACAAAAACGAGACAGATCGATGTACTATTATGAATGTCCCAGGAATTTTCTCATTGTGAATGGATGTAAAATTCCAAAATTGGAAAAAAAAATCATTATTTTTGTTATTTGCTGTTTCACATCCTGTTAGATCGTGTCTATCGTGTTTTATGTTTGAATTTCGTAGAAACCGTGCTCAAAACCTTTTATTATTGTTCCATTTTCAAGAGTCTCTAGTTTCATCCCGTTTCGAATAATCAAGCTTCAATTTCAACTTATTACGATAGAATTGAAGAAAAAGTTACAAGAATTAGACGGTGAAACTAACTGATACCGAATATTGGGCTTCGGATCTAGACTTTTTTTAAAATTCAATATGTTAAACGTTTCTTTTGCTTAGGTATAGGACGACTACATAAATTTCGTCAAATAGATCAATATATTCAATAGCTATTGATATGATGGTACTAATTGAAAATAAAACGACTATACAGAAATATAAAATTCGAAAATGGGGCAAATAACTTTACGTAGATTATTTTCTCTAATCTCACGACGTTGATATGACTCATCTGTATACCAAATTATGTGGCTGAGTTTATCATAATCTTTTCTGAAATTTTTAACTTTCAACAAATAGATTTTTTCGATCGAAAAGAACTATCAATAAAATTTCATAGAATTCTTACTGTTCGCTGAGAAAATCAACTGGTACACGTGTCGTACTTTTATCGCTGTAATAAGAATTCTGCTATTTTATATACTGAGGGTTTATTTCAATTTCATTTTCTTGTGTAACTCGTATTGATTTATTAGAGCTGGCTGTTTGTGCATTTTCTTTTGTTTCTTCTTGACAACGCATCTAGTCACAAGTTCGTTGGCAATGTGTGAAACCAACACACGGATTTATTTAATTAATATAATGTAAATTTGTTTTTCTTTTTGTTTTTCTTTCGTTCGTTTCTCAATAAGCTTTAAATAAAACATTAAAAAAACTACTCGATTACCTATATCTGCGGGTTACACTCTAAAATCATCAAAATCGTCATGAAAAAACAACGTCATCTCAAAATGATGACTGATCATCATCTTGATACATTATTGGCTGGGCTACACCGTACAGACATTCAGGCTAACTATTACTAGTCGCCTCACCGATTATTATAAGTGCTGTGCTATCCAGAAAAAAAATCATTTTTTTGTGAAATCAGTTAAATGAATGTCATTTCCATTCGAAATGAAGATTGACTGTCGGTATCAATTCTAATCTAACAAAGAAACATCTTATGTCTTTTTTTTCTTATCTCATCCTTAATATTCGTCATGATGGTCTTTAAAAATGTACGTTTCCTTTTTCTATCAGTCCCTTCTGTGTTCGATTGATTTGTCTTGAGTATATGTATCGACAGATGCAATCGTTCATGTCGGTATATTATTTCTCGTATTATCTCAGTTGATTTCTCTTCTAAAAGAAGACAAATGGCTAGAAATGAATCTAAGTTCCCATCCTTTGTCTTCTCATGATCATTCATGTTGAGTTTCGATTTTAGTTTCAAAAAACCATTGAGAAATATCCACATCTACAAAACTATGCTGTTTCAAATAAGCCACTACATTCAATACATCATATAAACATATTAAGCTCGCAGGCCAATAGAAAAAAAACTCTTAAACAAACTTCTTATGCTTTGTATATTTTTACGGTACGCTTTTACAATGAAAACCAAAACAATAAAAAATGTTTTAATGAAACTAAATGAGGTATGATTGAATAAATTGTGCAAAAAACAGCCTAAACAAATACTTAGTCTTGTTGACGTTTCATCGTGTCACAAGCCGATTTTTTATCGATGATTTCATCTATCGACCAATTCCTATACTCTCCGTGCTCCTCCTCCTACACGTTACACGCAGTATTCTGTCTTTCTTTTCCTTCTTATTCTTTTGATTGCTTTTCTTTTTTTTTAATGTTCTTCATTTTCTCTCTCATTTGTGATTACGAGAAGAACCAAACTTTTTGCCTTAAACAAACAATATGCCGTGCATTTAAAAAGAAACCTGCATATTCTCCCTTTGGCTAATTTCTCGCCTTCAACTGAATTCAATGAGAAATGACATCACACAAGAGAAATTGTCATTTGTAGAGCTTGCATGACTATTTGGAATATATTCTTCTTGTGGGAGAACAGTTACATTAAAATACAATTCCCTGCAACTGTTTTTTATCTCTAGATTGAAAATATCAATCATTCGATTTAAATCGATTGGCATTGGCTCAACATGACGGAAAATTATTATGCAAACAGTGATGTTCCTAAAGCAGTATCCTCTAACGACCAGAACAGCAAACTTTTTGATACAATGGTCGCGATTTATAAGTCAAAACTACACCTTATTATGATTATCATAGAGTTAGTGATTGGTGGTGTGGAACTCGGCGAAGGTATCAGGCATAACGGTCAATGTCCCATTCAACCCATGATTGCAACGTTTTTGATCGTTCACGGAGCTGCATCACTTTTCTCAGCAATAATCATTATTCTGGCCATGATTGGTGCCCACTATGTCGATACGCGTAAAGAAAAATCGGGTGCTCGTCTAGCCTTTTTTATTCTTATTATTATCATATTTGTTCTCAATCTCTTCTTTTTTGCTTGGTTTGTGGCTGGAAATGTTTGGGTTTTTGGAGCCAGAGCTAACGGCGTGCAAGGCAGTGATTCTACGATTTCGACAACATATTGCATATGGGAACTGTATCGGCCTGCAATCGTTCTTATTATAGTAAGATATATTGTAGTTCCCATCGCCATTATCATCATCATTGTCGTTCGTTGTTGCAAGAAACCTAAACGGTAATCGTCAAGATTATCAATGAAATATTTATCTTCTCTCAATATGATTCGAACAAATGATATATTTATCTTTTTTTGGGCACTTATAAATTTATGTATCAGACAAATTTGAGATTTAATTAGACAAAATTGAACAGAGTTTGTAAAAGATTTAATAATGAAAAAAATCGAATAAGATGAAAATAAAAAACTGATATTTAAAGTTATATTCAACTCTAATTGAAATCTAATTAAATCTAGGTGATTGTAGAGTTCGCTAGTGTTCTCTGTTGAAATTAACTCTGTTTTGGCAAGATCTGACTTTAAAAAAAGAAAGAAATGATCTTTAAGTTTATGCTTCGTGAATAGTTATTTTTTATCAATGTGTATCAATCTTCGAATTTAACGTGTTTCATAAATGATATATAAACTATAAATATATGGTGGTATTAAGTTCTGCTGAGTTATTTTTCAATCCCAACAAATGAAGAATGTTTGAACTTATGTATTCCCTGTGATAGAATAATACTGTCTTCTCTTAGATTTAATACTCCAATATATTTAAGATGTTACTTCGCTTGTTCAAAAAGATACTTTCGAAAATCATTTTCCGCTATCAACGCAGAAGATGCCATTTGGCGCTATACATTCTAAAAAAAATAAGGGAAATTGAATGCTCTCTGTCTCCTAAAAAGCATGCACATGCCTGTTGTGTTTTCTTAATTCAAACTAAAATTAGAATTTATTTTTAAATTAAACAACACTGATTTTGTTCTTTTGCACCTGATTAAAAACTAATTGTACCTAAATTTAATTTTTTCTGTAACTCTACGTAATATGTATGTCATTATTTAAAGAAAATCAATTACCAAAAAGAGTGCTAAAACACAATGAAATTCATTTATCGTAACAAATTAATTACTTGATGATAAAATGGAGCAATTTCATCTTTATATATTTCTAATGATTGATGAACAACTATTTTGTTTTTGTATTTCATCTTATAGATGAAAATTAACTTGATTGTATCTGAGTGAAGATGTATTCTAATGACAAAATCTATATATAATACAATATAATCAATAATATATTAAATATATATTTATCGATAAATATTCAAATATTTGTTCTTGATATTCAAATTCGTATTTATCTGACAATGATGATTTGATGTTGTCTTTTGTTCGCGTTTTTATTTTAAATCTACTAAACGTATTTTAATAGGTGATGAAAGTAATTATGTTTTAGTTGATTTTAATAATTGTATTGATTCCAAAAAAGATTTATAAGAAAAACGAGTGTATCTAATCTTAACGAAACAATTTGCTGATAAAGGCATTACATTAATACTTTTGTTAAATTTATCAACATTATCTTTCTCAGCAAGTGATGAATGAAAATCATAAAGAGTAATTCTTGACGATAAGACGAATCAGTACTTGTCATTAGAGATGAACGAGTAAAAGGATTGATCGAGATTGAATGGTAGTTGCTTCAACAAATTTAACAAAATGAAATGTCAATGTTGGATTCGGTTTATTTTTGAACAAGATTTCCAATATTTACAAGAAAATATAAAGATTTCTTTTTGTTTTGAAAAGGTTAACCGACTGAAATGATAATTTTACTGCTAAAGTAAAGAAAGAATTTATTAATAGATGTTTTCCATCTTGATCAATTTTTTGTTCTTATAAAAAGATAATTGTTACGCTTATAACAGCAAGAAAAAGTAACAGTAAAAAAATACTAATATTTATTATAATACTTAGTGGAATCTTGATAGTTGTAATAAAAAAATTCCAATTTTTTGAAAAGTAAAATAAACAAACATCTTTTTCCGAGTTTCATCGATATTTGACCATGTTTGCATAGTATTTGATTGTCCTAAAATAATAACAAACAACAATTTTCTCTGTAAATTCTACAAAAACACGAACTCGAGAAGAACAAAAATAAAAGATTCTTGCTTAATATTTTTTTTTCTCTTGATTGTGCTTGACATTTTGTTGTGAATATTTTAAAACTTTTCTTATCTAACTGATAAGAAATAATCTGACATAATTCTTATTAATATATTACTTAATATCTCATACCAAAGTCTTTTCTTAACATTCATGCCGACACCAACACTCACATCCACTCGTTCATTTCAAATAAATATAGCAGACATATTGCTGATAAAAGCTTAGGCGTATAGTTATAGATCATTATGATCCTATTGTTATAATCAGCAACAAATTTTACTATAATGAAATTTGTTGTCGTCAACAAATCAAGAACGATCTAGAAATTTCCACGGTATAACATAATCAAATATAATTCAGATTTTTAGGCTTTAGTAAACGCATCGAAAATTAGAAAAAACAATCACCTTTATTCAATGTTTAATAACTTGAGGCGAATACATCCATTTCAACTAAAACTTTAATGATACTTGAAGATCCAGTAGTCCCATTTATAGACAAAATTTCAGCAAGATAGTAATACCTCCGAAAGAAAGTCACATGAGTATACATCCTTTTAAAAAATTTTTATTAAGACCTATTTCTACTTGTAGATTTTTTCCTTAGTTTTGTTTTAACATTTAATACTATGTGATGCCTTCGAATTTTCATTTTCAACGGCATCCATCAAAGATATCCAGCCAAATATCGCTTTTGTGGACTCTTCCAGCGCTTTAAACCATTTTTGACTAGTTTCTTCATTTCCTTGGACATCCTGCTTATTTCTACTAAATCATAATTCGTTAACAAAGCGTAATCAATATTGTCAGATTTTGACCGTGTCTAAAATTTTAAATTCAGTTAGAAGTTGATCATCAGATTGTTTAAGATCCGAAAAGTTTTTCGAAAGTATTCGCTGTGTATTCGAGTGTGGAATTATTCTTGGCGAGTATGTATCAAACAAAAAAGCAATGCCTACATTTTACTATTCAACTATTTCGTTCATCTACAAATGAGATATTCTCGAGTTCCTTTATGAAATATTGTCGAAACTTACTTGACATTAAAATTTCTCGAAAATTCATGAAAACAAATTGAAGTAATAATTATTGTTTTATATGTCAATATCGTCGTGATATCGAATTAATATATGCTCAATAAAATCAATGGGAACCAGCTTCAATAAATGAATTAGATGAAAAAGGTTATTGTCTTAATTATTTATTATGATGTCAACAAGATCTTGATGATATATGGCGTTTATCACGTTGGATTGTTTATTTTACAAATTGTACTAAAGATAAAACATCCTCTGGTATATCACTTAAGCCATTTCAATTATCACCAAATTTAAATGAAATAAAAATTGATCAATCACCATCTTTAGCATCTTCATTAAATTCAAATGAATATTTAATAAAACAAAATATTAATTGTTTTATTAATAATGAAGATAATACAATTGAATTAACACTTTGTCGATCGTTATTAACATCAAATACATATATATTTCATGTCAAATACGAATAAATAAAATGGCGAAATTAAATGAAATTTTACAAATTATTTTATAATAGCAACAAGATATTTTTTTTAAATCAAATCCATTATTACATTTTGCTTAGGTATGTTCAAATGAATATGAATATATGATTGAAGAAACTTTAACAACTTATGAGATTCAAACACGTCTTCTACTTTTTGATGGGCAAATCCATTTACGTTCAAAAAGTTCATCATCATCATCATCATCGAATGCATCACTCATAATTAATAAAACATGAAATTTGTTTTCGCCTACATCAAAAACTCTTTCGTAAACAAGTTACTAAAAATTCAAAAAAATCTTTGTGAGATTTACTCATAGGTGTCAAAAGAAAACAAAACAGTAGACATATTTCTTATTTTTAATTGAAATATGTATTATATTTTTGTTCTCGATAAAATCAATTAAGTACGTATTTCATGCTTACATCGAGAGCGTTGGTATTTGGTCCTTTCATTCAGCCACAACAATATTTACATCGTAGCCAGCCTTTGGTGACTATTCGTTCGAAAAGATCTTAAATCAAAGACAACTATATTCTATTATTCAATTACTAATATTGCGATAAGTCAAATTGAATAATCTAGTAAACGTTTGAGTGAAAATCTGTTGAAGTCCTTTTTTGCTTTTTTTTTTAAAATTTTGTGATATAATTACTATTGTATTTGATTATTTCACTAGTTTTTTTTTTTAAAGAACTGAATATTGCTATTTAATTAAGTTACTGTTTGTCCGTTATTCAGTTATTTTACTTGCTGCATTGCTCGTAAATTAAAGAGTAAAATTGAAGACATATTGATAACTAATGTTAAAACCAGACTGATAGATATAAAACTCCAGTATCAATGGGTGGTGCGAGTAAAGCTCATTTTCTTAAATCATTTTATACAACTATGAGTTTTCATTTCATGATGTTGGTGTAGACAAATAACGGTAGTTACTAATTATTTGTCACGATAGTATTCGAATTTTACAAAAATTTCATGATTTTTAAAAATAGATGTCCGTTCAAAACATAACTTACAAGTTAATTCAAACTAAAATTACAGATCGAATATTGAATACGAAAAATATAAATTCGATTAGACTTTTAGAAAACTCTCGTGTAATTTATAGTATGCACCACAGATTCGTTATTTATGTAATAGGTAATCAATCGAAAACTTGTTAGTAAACGGTATTCCAATAATCAATAGTCGAAACTCATTAGAATATTTCAACTGAGTATATCTTAGTATACTAATGCATGTAATGAATTACGCTCAAAACAGAGTCCATACTGCTTTCAACCACAGTGTATTTTCTGAGTATTATTGTCTATAACAAAGAAAAGAATACTTTTTCTTCTTCTTCAGAGAAAAGTTATCTATTGTTTCCTTGCTGAAGAGACATGAGGATGACTCATTGTATCCGAAGCTTTTGTTTTACTGTATCAATCGAAAGAAAATACAAAGATTTTTTCTTGGATTTTAATTACTCTAAGTTTCTTTTTGCTAGACATAAATCATACAATTATTTTTATGATTTCTTCGAGAAACTTTGACAAAAAACAACGAGTTTTTTTTTCTGAGAGAAATTTAAAATACAGCTAAATCTTGAATGAAACCATACTATAATCATGACATTTTCTACACATTGTCTTGTACATCTACATTTATACTTCCTTTTCTATACGTCCATTCAATATGCCAAAATTTCTCACACACATCAAAGTTGAATGTTGAACTCAATTACTCAAAAATAAAAAACAAAATTGCCAGTGTAATCGATCTTGTATATCGATATCACCACATAGGGCGTATACCCCTCCAGAAGAACTGCGACCTATACTCGTCTTTGTGTACACATTAATGTCTATCTTTCTTTTACAATTTGATAGTACTGCAAAGGACGTATAGAGAAGGACGTACCGAAAAGGATATACAGAAAAGGAAGTCTGGATAAGGACGTATAGAAAAGAATGTATAGGAAGGACGTAAATCGAAACGGACTAGAAGAGAACGGACATTGTTTTTATCGTTTCCGCCTAAGACGATACACTGGATGGAATCATAGAAACACTAATCAGAAAAATAATATGAAAGAAAGATAAAAGAACCGCAAACGAAACTGTATTTGTATAAGATGATCTTCATATCAGGTCGGTAATGTATTTTATAAGAATGAAATATGAAAATACACTCCTTTGTTGAGTTATCTTCTATTGAAAGTTTTTTTTTTTGTTTGTTTTTTGTCAGTTACTTGACGAAACTCATCTGCTTTGTTTTTCTATCAAGTGTCATTGACAACTTTGCACTGAAACGAAACTGAATTTTTTGCTCTTTTCAGTTCGATCCTATACTCATTTTGCTTTGCTGGAACTTACGTATGTTTCGAAGAAAATAATAGGAAGTGTAAGTTTAAATCGAGGGTTGTGATGCTCCTCAATAGATCTTAGCAATCAGCGGTGGAAGGAAGAAACCCATAGATAATTGAATACATTCCCGTAGCAGTGGACAAAAAAGCGCATAAGCAACGACCGTGCTTTGATTATTACCGAACTCTATATTGCAACAAGTCAAAATATTGCGAATTTCGATTTTCAATGTACCGAAAAGTTCTTATTATAGGTGTCAATCAGTAGAGCAGTCGTATGATTCATCAAGCAGGATCAAAATACGATTGACAAAGAAAAGTATAAATTAAATCAATTCTAAGTTGAGGTAAAACTCAGCAGTATATGTCACTGTTTCTCGAGAGAAAGAATGATACACGTGGTAGTTTACTGAACCATCAAATCAATGTGTATAACAGGCGAATATGATGGTTAAAATCTAAAAGAACGAAAAAAATAATATTTGCCAGATTCTGCAGCATATATCGTATATAATAGTATCATTAAAAGAAAAGAAATTATGTATTGAAGATGTACTTGACAATACACATGAGTTTGTACAGTATGTCGATGTTAAATAAATCAAATAAATTAGTAAAATAATAATTCTAAGTGCCGACATTTCTGAAATGAAAGAACTTTCAAAGTACACCTGTTAACTATAAAAATTATTATCATATTGATTTCTTCATTTATTTGTCATTGTTTGAAATACATAACTTTAAAACCTTTGGCAATATTCTATAAGTTAATAACAACCAGGGTTTCTGAGCTTCACATATTGACCTTTCCTGAAGTCACACGGCTGAGATTTTCGGATAATTGATGATGAAGCAAGAGATACGAATATAACCAATATCATTATCTTCATAAAAGATATATGTTTATAAAATGTACTATCCAACGAAGGACTCCGTAGTAGATTAGAAGTAGCGAGAATCAGTTCTGGGAGTACAAAGTCAGTTAAATTGTAAATGAACGAAAAATACAATCAGTGAACCATACGTTCATTCACCCATACACACCAACAAAAGTTCGCTGTCTTCTCTCATTTATGCTTTTCATAGAATGGTGGCTACCTTTGTTTTTGATGCAGAACAGATAGTAAAAAGTCAGAAAGTTTTAATAAATCATATATTCTATCTGATAGAGCTATTTCTAGATTTATAAAATAATCTACAATTGAAACGTCATTTCGTCTTACTGTTGAATATTGAAGAAATATATTATGTTAGTCGACGAACTTAATACCAAAGAATCAAGTGGACTTTTGTCTACAGTAGATCGAATGCGTGAAATCTTACACAATGAAAAGATAACTTTACCAGAAATTGTAGTAGTTGGTGATCAATCGGTCGGTAAATCATCTGTACTTGAAGCTATTTCTGGAATTCAATTACCTCGTGCACAAAATATTTGCACACGATGTCCATTAGAATTACGAATGAAATCAACGATAGCCACCGAATATGCTGTCATTCGTAGTAGTAAATGCTCAGAAAACGAAGCTGAAACCTTATATGATATGAATGAGATTAGTAATGTAGTTACACGACTTACTAAAGAAATTGCTGGTGAAGGAACAAATGTAAGCTCAACACCAATCTATTTAACAGTATATAAACGTAATATGGCATATGATTTAACGCTTATCGATTTACCTGGTATAACTCGAAATCCACTTCCTGGTCAACCCAAAGATATTCATGCACAGATTTTGAATTTGATTAATAAATATATAGAACCATCAACAGCAGTAAGATTGTTCGTTTTAAATTACATCTTTTGAAAAATTTCTAAATCTATTCAGGTTGTTTTGCATGTTATTCCAGCATCGGTCGATTTTGCAACATCAGAATCAATGAAATTAGCCAAAGAATATGATCCACAATGTCTTCGACAATTAATCACTGCTACAAAAATTGATAAATATGATAAAGGTATTGCAGAAAAACTATTAGGACGAGGACCAGGAGCAATGCAATTAAAATTGGGTTGTATTGCTGTACTTAATAGAAATCAAGATGAAATTGATCAGAATATTTCATTTGAAGAAATGAAAAAACGTGAAGCAGAATTCTTTATCAAACATCATGAAGCGTTTCAATATTTACCTGATGAATTTAAAGGTATTGATCAATTAGTTAAAAAATTAGCAATTATTCAACAAGATCGTATACGTTCAACACTTCCACAAGTTATTGAAGAATTACGAAAACAAATTCGAGAAAAAACTCTTGAGCTTAGAAATATTCCAATACCTATGACAACAGAACAAGATTGTTGGATGAAATTTCAATCGATGATAAATGCATTTCGTGAAAGTATTCGAACTAAAATCAATGGAGATTATGATGTTTCAACAAGAATAAATATGATTACTGTTAGTAATCAAGCATCATCAAAAATACATGATTCCATGATGTTATCATCACTTAAAACTAATGAAAACTCAATAAATTCTATATCTGGTGATGATCGTCTTGCTTATCATATTTATAGATTTCAAAGAAAATTTCAAGATGAACTTACAAAAAATTTTTCAGATTTTTTCTCATCTGATTATTATAAACTTGTTTTACAAGTTATTGATGATGGTGCTGGTGTTTCATTACCGAATTTTCCAAGTTATCAAATAATCGAACGACTTTTTCATGGAGAACTTCAACGTTTACCACGTACTTGTTTTACTTTAATTGAACGTATTCGTGATTATCTCAAAGAAAGTTTATTGAGAATATTACACCAAACATTTGATACCCAATACATTCGTCTAGTTGAACAACTTAAAGATGTTATCGTTAAACAAATTGATATGGCTGCTGATCAAGCTACTGATAGAATTCAAGAAATATTAGATATGGAATATAGAATTTTTACAATAAATAATTTATATGCAGATAAAGTGAATGAAATGAAAGAACGATTGAATAAAAAAGAGAAAGAACAACAAGGTGAAGCGGCACCACCTGCAGTAACAATGGCTGTTGTTGCTCCACTAACAGTACAGGTTGATTCTCTACAAAAACCCGACTTCAAAAAACTTCTCAAACCAATTTCAGGTTCAAAAACTGAAGCTTTAGTTTCGAAACCTGAAGATTCAACTGTAAAATCTGAAATGCTAACATCAACATCCCTTAATACTTCTATGATGATTCCTAGTTCACATAAATTAACATTTAATGAATCTCTAGCAGCCGTAGATATTCAAATAACATTGGAATCATACTGCCTGGTAAATTATTTATAACGTAATTATCTCTAGAAATTAACTTTTTCATTTTATTTAGGTTGTAAGAAAACGTATTATTGATATTATTTCTCAAATATGTTATCATCAGTTTATTACAAAATGTGCTCTTGTTATCGATCAGGCTTTAACAGTAGCTTGTCCATCATCGGATTTACTCCGTTTTATGAAAGAGCCTGCTGAACAAACAAGTCGACGAGAACATTTGATACGTACTATTAAAGCATATGAGGATGCATTACGACTCGGTCAAGGTTATTTGTAATCAAAATTGCTCACATGAATAGTTAATATTTTCATAACTAAACAAAAAATATTATACTCATAAAAGCAAATTAACAATTGTCATATTATAATTATCTTTACTAAATAAATCTTTGAGATAATCAGTCAAAAAACAAATTAGAATGACTGACAAAGGAAATATGTACATTGTAAATCACGAACATCAAACATATTCGAGTTAAACAATTAAAAGTCATATTTTATAGTTGGATAAAGTTCATCGAGTTACATAAGAAGAAGTATGTGTCAGATAAAGAAAAAAAAAAGTTTTACGAAACCTGAAATTCCGAGTCTGTTTTGCTCTATATTTGAAAATAATGATATTCTGAATTTTTCTCTTAAGATGGTTTTTTTTCTTATGTATCTCAATGGACTCTATTAAGCAATGACAACCAAAAAAAAAAAGAGAAAACTAAATCCTGTTGAAATTTGAATTATTGGCATATCATGTACATTAATAATACCGTACAATTCAAATATCTCATATCGTACATATCATAAGCAGTTCATATTTCTCATTTCTTTGCTTGCTGACAAGATTTTTAATTTGACTAGAAAGCGTTCGATGTGCTTGAGTCATCATGAAAACTCTTTCATTGTAAGTTAATAGTTGATACACTCAATTTTAGACACTAGGGTAAGTGTGGGTGTTCATGTGTCTGTTGATTTTCTTATAGCTACATCCACATCCAAAATATCTATTTTAAATTTTATTTTATTATCTATAAATTAAATCTTTTAGCTTAATATGAAATAGATCATTCTATATAATCATTTATGTACGGTCTATCTTGCACTCACTATTGTCTAGAAAGAAGGATCTGTTTTGAATTAAATCAGCAAAAAGAAATTAATAATAAATTTGAACAAAATAATGTTTATATTAGACTAAAACTGTTAACTACTTCAGTTTTCAATGATAGCTCACGAGGGAACCGTCCGAAGTGATTAACCGCTTTTGAGTTCGGACTCTATACATAAGACAGACCCTAATGAGATATGAAAAACCCCAAAAGGACAAGTGCCCATAGGCCTTCTCTACAAAGTTATAGGCATTTTACTGAAATTTTAGCCTATAGTACTGTATGTATCAAAGAATCGAATGATGATATTTCGAGCTGNAAATTTGTTGAGGAGTGAAAAACGATTCTTGTCTATATACGAAATGTTCACTATTTGTAAGTGGACACATGGGAAAAATCCCAATAAATAGAAACGAATAACATGAAATAAAGCCTAGAAAGCAAGGCAATAGGAAGAGAACAATACATATATATGTGTATCGTATATCCAGTATTATGTCAAAGAAGAAGAAACAAAAAAAGAATTCATAATGTAACAATATTGAACAAATAAAAAATGACTATGCTTTTTTGAACCCTCACGGTAGCTATTAGCAAAAATTCTGGTAAGCTCCAGAATTGAACTTAGCCAACTAGTTCGTCAACAGAAAGGCTGCTAAAGTTTCATGAAAATTAGGAACATGACATCTTCTTTAACGAAAAAAGACAGTTCTGGACTCTCTAAGGTATTGAATTACGTTTGTCAAAACTTCAAGTTTTCATAGAATTACTATAACGATCTTGGCAAGATTATGCACATAGTATCCTACAATACTCCTAACAAAACTTGCAAATTTTTTTGTCACAAGTCACTTCCAAGTTTAGATAGGATCCTATAGAAATTACTGCACAATCTTGTTCAGATCTTAGCAAAAAAAGGCAGGATTCTCACAAGAAAACTTCAAGATTCTCACTAGGAGTATTTTTGTAACTACAGGTATTACAAGAATCATTATCAACTCACCCACTAATGCAATTGCACCAAGTGAAAGTCCGACGTTTGGAGGGAAAACGTTCGGCAGTGTTGGCGCATATGAAAAGCTTAGGGGTACGGCCTATGGGCAGCTCAATCCCAACGATACTCATAACAGCCTGATTACAGATCTGAAACTGGGACCACGCAATGAGGCGGGAATGGTGGAGTATTCCATGGATTTCTACATTCTCAAACCCATTAACCAGTCGAATGGCAACCATAAAATGTTTTTCGAGGTCAACAATCGTGGCAGCAAGCAGTTCGGCACATTCGATCAGTCTTCAGGGGGCAATAATCCAACTACTGCGAACGATGCTGGCTATGGTTTCTTGATGAACCAGGGTTACACTATTGCATGGAGTGGCTGGGATTGCAGCGTCTCGCTAACCGGTAGTCCAGATTTGCTACGTATACATTTGCCGATCGCAACCAATGCTGATGGCAGTTCGATTACCGGTTTCAATTATGAATACATTGTCTTTGACAACCCCACGACCACTTCATATACAACTTCATACAACACCAACAGTACTGATACGACCATGGCAACGTTGACAGTGAAAGATCATCTAACCGATTCACCGGTGACTATTCCATCTACGAATTGGACGTGGACTAGCAACAATACGATTTCTCTATTGCCTCTCAACACAACATTCAAACAAAGTTCAATCTACGAATTGGTCTATACGGCCAAAGATCCTTACATAGCCGGAATAGGTTTTGCCGCAACTCGAGACTTCGTTTCTTTCATGCGCAGAACAAATAGTAATAATCCATTGGCGGGTGACATTACTCGAGTAATGAGTTGGAGTTTCTCACAGCCGTCACGCTATATGAACGATTTTCTCTGGTTGGGTTTCAATGAGGACTTGGAAGGAAAGCAGGTATTCGATGGTGTATTCAATTGGATCGGAGCAGGCAACGGTCTTGGTCTCAACTACCGCTTTGCACAGCCGGGAAGAACCGAGCGCAATCGTCAGAACCATCTTTATCCAGAGGCGGTGTTTCCATTTTCTTACACGACCTTAACCAACCCCCATACCGAAAAACTTGATGGCCGTAATATGCGATGTATGCAGACTAGCACGTGTCCGAAGATCATGAATATCCTTTCGGCGAATGAGTACTGGGTAAAAGCCGGTTCGTTGCTCCACACTGATCTATCAGGTGGCGATCTAGTTGATCCGTTAAACGTGCGGCATTATTTACTTTCTGGCACCCAACATGGCGGACCATCACTCCCTAACTCGTTAGGAATCTGCCAACAGTTCGGCAACATCGTTGATCCAAATCCTGCACTGCGAGCTCTCTTTGTCGCACTGGACCAGTGGCTCGATGGTATTGAACCACCCGCCAGCATGGTTCCGCGGGTTTCTGATGGAACCGCAGTGTTCTCCAATGTTACAGTCGATTCACCGCTCGGCATCGGTAGCGTGGCACAAGCTTCACTGAACTGGCCGACGATCCCCAACGTCCTATACACAGGTCTGATTACAGTTCGCAATCTTTTCAATTTTGGACCTCAGTTCAATGAGGGCATCATCAACGTTGATCCACCTCGTCCGATGGGCATATATTACCCGTCTTTCGTATCAAAAGTGGACACGGACGGTAACGAAATCGCTGGAATACGACTTCCACCCGTGGCAGTGCCTTTTGCAACCAACACTGGATGGAACCTGCGCAATGGAGCCTATGGAGGTAATGATGGCTGTGAGTCAACTGGCTCGACGATCCCCTTTGCACCTGACATGCTGACGCGACTGACCAAAGGTGATACTCGTCTGTCGCTGACCGAGCGCTACAATAACCATTCCGGCTACGTGGCTGCTGTGAATGTCGTAGCCAATGCACTTGCTCGTCAACGTTTTTTACTTTCGGCAGATGTTCAGGCGTATATCACTGCTGCGAATGTGTCGATCAAAGTTACGAACAATCCAACTTACGGCAACTATACGTGGTAAGAAAATGGCTTAGGTCGAGTTTGGCTATCTTTTGCCGACCTCTCTTCAGAAGTTATTTATGACTGTGCCTCCGTAATCCGTTGCAAAATTGTCAGCTTTTGTAATGCATTATTTAATGTCACCTCTTTGTCCCTTTTCGAACGAGAATTTAGTTCGATTTTCAATGTCTGTTTCCTATAAATGCTCTTAAGTCTTCTTTATTCATCTGTACTAAAAGAACTTTTTTCTGCTTCCTATGAATCTCGGTAATCGGATTCTTTGAAACACTCTGTTACAGTGCAATGCCATCTATAGACATATTCACTATCTATAGGTTATCCTCTATCTTTCTCTCATCTTTCTTTCATCTTTTATTGGTCTCTCTTGCTTCTCGTTGTCTCTATACACATGTACAACATTACTTAGATTTCAATTCTTCTTTTCCGAATAAAACAGATTGTGCAGGTGTGCATATATATATGTACGTTTGAAAAAAAAAGTTGCAGTCGATGTTTTAAGTATGTTGACACCATAAAAATAGACTGTTTACAAATAATAATATATTCTGAAAGCGCTGGGAGTTGTCTATCACTCCGTACATTCATACTTTAGTTTTCATGTATTTTCTGAAAAATAAGTCAAATGCAATGAAAAAATCCTTATTGTCATATTTCCATCGATTTGATTTTGATACTGTCTCCTCAATTACTCTTAAACTTATCATCACTATCGGAATATGTTTCAAACAAAAAATAATTATATTTTCTAATAGAGTTTAATTTTCTCTATCATCCTATATAGTTTTGCCACATATTGAAGATGTGGGCGGGATGCGCTTGAAGAGAAGACCCACACCCAATCTTGCTATGCATAAAAAATTATCATTATTAAATCAATTATTTTTGAGTTTAGATTCTGAAGCGCATCTTGCATGTATGTATCAAATCACAATGCCAAACAATGATTTATGCATAGATAGACTTTTGTTTATATGTGTATAAATATAACTTTATTGAAAAAATGATAATCATCAAAAACAAATAAAATTAGCTAAAAAAAAAAGAAAAAGAAATATTATTATTTTTTCTTTTCTAACAACGGAGTTCAATAAATGTAATCGATATCTTATAATCAATAAAATTAATACGAATTAATATTGGAATATGAGGACTTTTTTTCGTGAAATGAATATCATCGTGTTGAATTTAACCAACACTAATATAATAAAAAAAGAAAATGAAACTTATTTCAATAATATACCGATTGGTGTGTGGGTGTTAGCATTCTCTTCAGTCACACTCACACTCGTCCCGCCGAGTTGGAACTGGGATTGTTTCGTAGGTTCGTAGTTGAGATATTGTAAAGATAATACTTAATAAATATCATTCTAATAGCATTACGAAAAGACTTTATTTTAAAAATTTTTTTGAGCTACTTACTGAATAATATTAAACAAATTTGTTAATTATAGTTAACTTTTGGCGATCGTTCTGATGTACTACTTTTTTTTCAATAATATTGTGTCCTGAGGCAGAGAAATGTAACGCTGTTACAAAAATCTCATTATTGGTACCATTTTCAATTGATCTAATGAAGCAATAATTTCAACATTACAAGTGTAAGAAAGCAACTGCATAAAATTCAAACCCAACTTCGACTTTTGGTTTACTTATCTAGCGACGAGTCTCCTTGAAAGATAATTAGTCGTTGTTTATTTTCAGATTTTTCTGGCTATGCTCAACTTTGACCATAGATATGCGTACTGATTTCACGTGTATTCCAAAAACAAAACTATGAAATATTGACAGCAGATATTGACAGTTGTTAGTACTTTTTGTTAAACTTTGCTTTTCTCTGTATAAGTGTGCTTAGGTAGCCGATAAAAGGTAGGAAAATGTTCTCGTGACGAGGATTTTGTTCATTGAAACCAAAGAAAAAACCGAAACAAGACAGAGTTCAAAGAAAATATATTAGTACAAACCTCCGAAAAAAAATCTTCAGAAACTTCCAGTTTATAGGAGATCGAATCTTCACATTGAGCTGAATAAATGCTAGCGTTTGGAATGGCATGCACTTAAATTTCAGTAGTTAAGAACCTATGAGAAGATTTCGAAGTTATAACACAGTATAGTTCACAGTCGTAGGAAACTTTGATTCTGACAGAGACCTAACAGGCCAATATAGGTACCAACTCGATCTTTAGTAGTGAAAGCGGTAGACAAGTCTCTTTGGAAGTTAAAGCAACTGATTCAGATGAATCTATTACATCGAACGACAAGAAGATAACACTCTGGAAATAAAAAGTATAATAGCGCTACGTTTGTTTTTTGCTCTTCTTACACTAGTAAACATGGTTAGAAGAAAACTTGGTCTCGCTGCTGAAAAACTCATTTGATGCTTTAAAAAATTTGTTCTAGAGGCATTTCATTCGTTGGACGACCTTTTCAAGAAATCAGAAATTTAGCAAGAATATTCCGAAACTAGGATCGTTTTATGTAATAGCATTAAGCGACAAAAAAAAATTCCCTAAAACTTCGAGATTTCAAGCAAGAAAACATGGTTTTTATAGCATAAATATGGTATGTCGAAATGTTTCGAATGGCTTCCGAACAAACTTTCTAGCTGTCAAGATTTCCGAGATTGCTGTAAAAGGTCTGAAAAATGTAACAGTATTATGTTTGAACAAGCCAAGAAACTGTTTTATATTATTTTCGAAAATTTTCAATTTGAGTTGGTAACGCTTCAAATACTTTGCAATATATATGAATATCTCTCAATTTGAATGCTATTCAGCAGATTGATCATATCATTTATCAGACGAATTTCCAGAAGATAATATGATATCAAACATCAGTTCTTTTTTGTTTCTTTTAGTACTTTTAAAATGATACGTTGAGTGGTAGACTGTGTCTATTTGATACAAAAATGATGTTTTTAAGAAAATAGGGAAGGTTATCGCCGTTACTAAAAACCACTTAAACATTCTCAGAAGAAAAGAGAACAAAAAAAGTACATGTGACAGTGCTCATAAAAGTATAAGAACACTTTGGGGTAACAAACAGGAACTGTATTTTACACCCAAACCTAGCTCTCGAAGGTCTTCTAACCTTTTCCCGAGTTTTTAGTGTTCGCTCAAAACTTTTGCAAATATATCATAAAGAGTGGTGGAAAATAATTTCTCTCTAATCGAGACATATGTTTGACAGTAAGCTATTTTTTGACTTATAATTATGAGTTTTGATTAGCGGCAAAATGAAATCTTTCTCTATCGTTTAAACACTTTTAATTACGTAGTTCGTGTCATCAAATGCGTGCCCAACATATATAGTTAACACTTAGATTCTGCTTTGTTTGAGACATATTATGAATTATTAGAAATTACTTATTAAAGTTCCATATGAACGAGAAGATATTTCATGAAGAACTATAGAGAGAGAAGGGTGACATACCTTTTGTTTTCACAGAAGAAATTTGCTGACATGAAAAGTTATAATGTCGCCACTCATAAAGAAACAAAAAGGCAAGCAGTTTGAAAAAAAACGAAACCAAACAAAAATGAAGAATTTTTCTCGTGAATATTCATTGGATATGTTGAAACTTGACCAGTATTCTTTTAGTCAATCTGAATAAGTTAAATTTTTTTATTTTTACTTTTAGCAAGAAGTTGAGCAGTGGACATCATTTTATTACTAAAATGTTCTCTATCAATATGTGCTATTCTTCTTGAGGTAATCCTATTGCAGTGATACTGATATTGATTCTTATAAATATAAACGAATCAACTCAATAAATGTCAAAAGAATAATCTGATGAATCTTTATGAAACTCACATACATTGTAGAAGAAAATAGATGCGGGTGTAGATGTTCATAGTTATTCCCATCGAATACCCACATTTACATCCAGAGTAGTTTAGGAGTTTGCAGATCAGCAGGCCGATGAAGGATGCTTCATAACTTGACGAAAGACAGTCATTTTTTAGATGAAATTCTCACCAGAAAGAGTGCAAGAACCAGACTTTTAAACGAAAAATCAAACCCCTTTAGAGCTCTTTTCTAGCTCGAGATAATACAATCTAAAGAGTACCCTACTGTTGATCTCCTATCTCAGCGTTATGAAGGAGATAGAGCTCGAGTAGGTGTCCATAATCAGAGTTCATCAAGTTCTATTTATGGTAGAAGCTTTAATACAAACAACCTGTATTGAGATATTTTTTTGTCTAGTTGTGGAACTTTTGTTCACGAATGTAAATTTATTTTCTATCGAAATATGATGAAAAAGACATATTTAAATGTTTATATCTGAAATCTTATGGAACTAAACCTTAAAAGTTCAATGGAAAAATGAAAGCAGAAAAAAATGAATATCAGCAACGAAGAAATGAAAAAAAAACTATGAACGATAATAAAGATAAATGGTATGAAAAATGTTTAAACATCATTATTAAACGATAATTTCATTTTCGATAGCCGAACAAACTAAGAATATATACAAATATATAAATAACATCAATATAAAGCATAAGTGATGCAAAAACATGATCTTCAGGACTTATTTCATGCCGCTTGCCACCCATAATTAATTGTGTGTCAACAGCCAAGAACTAACAATAGAAAATAATTTCTTTCAATTTCTTAATTAATAAAACTTACAATAGAAAAAGCTACAGCTCCAAGACCAGCATAGATTGTATGCATCATCTTAAAGAAATAAATACTTTTAAAAAAAAAAAAACATAACATAGTTATTTAGTTTTGTTAATATACGTACTCTTGAATAAGTAAAAATACAAACAATTCCAAAAGCTAAAAGTGCCAATGACACAACAAATAAGATACCAAAACATGATGTAAAATCATATTTTGTTTGAAATGAAAATAATGTAACACCGAAACAAACAAATACTGTTATACCAAAAGCAATTAACACTGATTCGATTTTATAATATGCTGAAATCATACCCATCTAAAGTATTTACAAAAAGAAATATTTAAGTAATAAATAATATTTAAATCGAATCATACCATATAACCCATTGATAATGTCTAAAATTAAAAATTTTTTTTTTTAATTAATTTAATTTAATTTTCTATTTTATTACCACAATAGCGAGTAAAATAAGATTAAGTGGAAATTTTCGTCCGGCATTTTTCGAACAAACTAATACAAAATAGGTAACCAGAAAAGCAACATATGATGCGAAATAAAGCCATCGACCATCCGGACTTTGCACATATTCGCGAATCAATGGTCTACAGTAAATATCATATATTCACTTTCAATGTTTTTTATTAGAAAATACAAACATACGTAAAATGAAATACTGCAATAAGACCAAATGTAATCGATAATTGAATCAAGAGCATTAAATAAACCTATTTATTAGAAAATTATTGAAATAAATTTGTTTCTGTAAGTTTCGATGAGCACAAACCTTTCGGATAAATGCACGACGAATCTCTTTGTTTTCAAGACCAGTAAAATTTCCCCATTGAGCTTCGCCTTGTTCATCATCTTTATAAAAACAAAAAGAAATTTAACTATAATTAAGAAAAGAAATCAATTAATATATTGGAATATGAATATGTAATCCTATAAAAACTTTATTTTTAAGAATATAAAAGGTTCGTTTCTTCACGATTCAGATAATTCAGTCGAGTTGTTGAATAGTTACAAAAGATAGTTATAGACAATAGAAAATATTCACTAAGGCCGAGATATGAAAACAATGATGAATCCCTTTTACGATCGAATATGTCTGTGTATACGGTTTTATTCAGCGTGAGAGACAATGAGAAGGCGAGATTTCTCTCAAGATCAGCCTGATTCTACAGGTTCTTTCTTGAAAAGAGGAAATTTATATAAGATGCTGGTGGTATATACAAACAAAAGTGCTCATTGATGAGCGTATAAGGATTCCATATTCTCCATTTTGGATTTCGAGTCTAGTGTAATTTCTTTTTGATTTTATGTGCTACTGTCATTAAATATAATAAACAGATCCTGTTTATGTATATATTTCTTTGCGAATTTGCACTTTATATGCGATATTAAAGAATAGTATCCGTTGGGCACCCAATTTTTGGACCTGAATCTGATTGATCAAATTTTTTCAGGTTCGTCTCCGAACTATGCCCTTAATTTCAAGGAAATTTTTTAGTGTGAGTCTTTAAGCTGGTTCTACGATAAGAGATACTGTTAAACAATTATTTGTATTTTGCTAGATAATATAGCCTACACATTTGTCAGACAATCTTGACTGTGATCTTATAATAATCAACTAATAATAAGAGTTATGACTCACTTAGTCGGGATCGAATCCGGTCAACTTTCATAAATGGCACCTAGGAAGTAGATATATAAAATCATAGTAACTGATAATCCTACATGGAAACATTAAGTTGAAGCCGAAATAAAGATAGAGTAAGATTGATTAGCGAGGATTAAAATAGATTAAAACAGAAAATTGAACATTCTAACAAGAAATACGAAGCATAAACAATAAGGATATGTCAAAATAATTGTTTTTCATTGAATATTTAATAGACGATCTTTAACTTTCTTATTTTTTCTTTAAGATAAATGTAATTAACATAAAACTGTATGTAAGAATTGCTTTAGTTTATGTGAATAACACTATGTACCTAATAATGTAGAATATGCAACAAATAAAGCTGAAGTTCAACTAAGTAACAAAAGATTTTATACACGAAAAAATTCATCGTATTTCATTTTATTTATAAAAGATAATTTCTACCCAGAAAGAAACATGTAAACTTAAATCATTCGTTGTTAATATCGATAGTATCCAACATGAATCGTGCCTTTTTTCCTCTTATATATCCACAAAATCACTACAGACGTTATGAAAACGAATAAATATGCCTGAAACATTGCGGTGATTTTGTTTTCTTTTCAAACTCGATGTAAAAATAAAAATAAAACATAATTAGAAAATATTTTATCGTCAACGAATAATATCTTATATGTTATTTACTTTAAAAGACTTACAATCTGAAGATACGCGCACGTATTCGAAATTTGTTAATAACTTTACAAAATAATTTCATTTATTAAGACAAAGCTAACCTTTAGCTAATTTTGGACATGGCGCTACAGGATGTACTTGCAATGGCATTTCATTTGGATCATGGGCATCACCTATAAGAGTCTGTAAATAAAGCATGAAAATCATTAAATTGAAAAAGGTACCGGGTTTGGGTGGATTCGGCAAATTGCTGATATTTTGATCTTTGCTCATTGTATTTATTATTTCTAAAAAAGACGCTTTATTTAATATATAAAAATCAAGCGTTATCAGACTGGCAAAAATTTCTTATTTAATAAAATGACACAAGCATACCTCACATTATTGGTTATGCATACAGTAAATCGAAAAAATTATTCGTCCAATTTCGAAGAATTATACATCTTCAATCAATAATTATCAAACAAGAAATATTTTGGTTCCATTCATGACTCTAGATTTTCAGGAGTATAGTCCAATTTCAAGCATACGATAAAGTCAAGTAAAAAAGGGACATTTTGCAGTTGACTGCCTTCAAAACTACAACCTGTGATGTTTTGAAGAGAGAGAGCATATCCTAGCTTTTGTCAGAATTAAGCAAAGTAAAAATATTGATTTTGAATAGTATTTCAGCGAGTTTGATTATGCAATAGACTCGTCTGAGAAATAAATTCTAAAGGGAGATCAAAACCAATTTCATAGTCGGATAGTGCGTATAAATTTGCTCTAGAAAAATATTTCTCATTATTACTTATTGACATGATTCAAGCACAGTCTATAATAACTGTCCGCTAAAACTCAAGTGACGGCGCCTCATAAATATGTACTAGCGTAAGAGAAAGCACATCAGACACGCATGACATAGGGATCTCTGAAATAATAAAATGTTGCTGTCATAAAGTTTTGCATCAATCTTTACCTATGACGCTTGAGAACCATGTTGATTATTAATAACGAGAAATATTTTTGTAGCTGAGACAAATTATCAAGAAGGCTTTTAAGCTTTAGTTCTGCAGGAGTTCCTAGCGCAAATTTATGCGCACTATCCGACAATGAAATTCGTTTTGATTTTCCTTTAGAATTTGGTTCTCAGACGAGTCTATTGCATAATCAAACTCGCTGAAATACTACTACTCAAAATGAATACTTTTATCCATAGCCATGATTTCATTTCAATTGTTGTTTCTATTTTGCTTAATTCTGAAAAAAAAAGAAATACTCTCTCTATTCGAATCATCACAGTTTGTGGTTTTGAAGGTGATCTACTACAAAAATGTTCTTTTTTACTTAACTTTATCAGGTTATTTAAATTGGATTATGTTCCTGAAGATAAAGAATGATCAATAAAATCAAAATATTGCGCTATTGATAATTATACATTGAACATACATAATTGTTCGATATTGGACGAATCGTTTTTTGCTATGAAAAATCTGCATAATTAAACCATTTTAATTAGAAAATAGAAATAAAAAAGAAGATATTGTTGCAAGTAATAGTATATAAACTAAGCATGGTGTACTACATAATGATATATAAAGCAAAGGAACTAGGATGACCTTACATGCATAGGTGAACAAATATTTTTTCGATCAACTGTATATAAATAAAGAGGAAAGGTAAAAGATTATTGGTTCATCTGTTTTAACGATGAGCACAATCGAGCGAAAGGTGGCGTACATATTTATATCGATAAAAGTAAGTCCATCCTCTCTTCACCAGTACCCCCTTTTTAATAATCAAGCGTCTTAGTGAAATTAAGTAAGATCTATAATAAACGACTAAATTTGATAAGTACGTTTCAGCAAAAGACTTTATGTAAATGCTTGATTATTTTGATATTGAACAGTATATAAAATCTAATTAATCAGATATTATGAATACTACACGAGTACTATAACTGATAAAAAATTATGTTTTTATTAATATATTATAGAAGTTGCATACTAAAAAAACCAATTGAGACATTTTGTCGAAATGACTACCCCAATATATGCATTTAGTTTAAATAAAAAAACCTTAAAGACGGGAAAAGTACATGTTTTAATTGAATGAAATTTTTTTTTGTATTATAATCGTATAAAATCAATAAAATTTGTATTTTTTTGTAATAACACAATCTGTTGAATAAAATCGAGTGTCGGTGTGGGTGTGAGATGTAAGTTATTGTCTAAATTATACCACACACCCAAATCAATTTTTTAGACGTTGTTTTTTTCTTTGTTATTTCTCTTTCCAAATCTTGCAAACAAATAATAGATTTTTTTGATTCGAGAAAGATAAATAAAGTAGAAACGATTATTAATAGTCTGTTTATTACAGGGGACTCCAACCCTTTGCTGACTAAAAACAGAATTTTTTTTCGATGTCGAAATTTTCATTTGTAAGGATTTATTGAAGAGCCCTCTATCAAATGTTATAAGAATCAGAAGCATGTCAAATCGTACAAACCCTGAAAAAATTTCGTTTTGAGAATCCCTATGTCGAGAGAAAAGCCTATTATTTTTCAGATGGCAATCTTGTTTATTAATTCTATGAACATTTCTTAGGAACAGCTCCTTATTTTCATATTTGATGCACAATAAGTGACAATCTGTAGTAATTTAAAATAATATACGTGTGAAAAAAGTTAAATTTTTCTTTATTTTAAGTTTTTCTCAAAGTCAAGTTTTCAACAACAAACGAAGTTTTCTCTGTTTTTCTTCGGTATGATAAATTCTATTGAGCTCAAGTTTTTTTTTTTTTTGTAAATAAGTACTGTGATCAAATTGAAATGCATGTTCTTCTTTTTTCTTCAAAATGTTGTTTGCTTTTCCTGAGCTCTAGAAATAATATTTTTGAAAACAAAAAATATAAACACGCACTCTAATTTAATTCTAGTTGTCATGAAAAATTTGCAGCCCGAAAAAAATGATGTATAGAGCTTTGGAGGGGCAAAACTGTCGGCCATTTTTGGCCTTTACAACTCGCATATCTGCATGAAGGAAGCAACTGGAAACTTTGAGTCACTGACACCTTTTACTCTACTTATCGAGATCTATTCGTCTTGAAAGTTTCATCATTTTTCACCGAGTTATTTTCGAGAAACCGTGGAAAGAGAAGGGAGTTCCCTTACAAAGAAGAAATTATGAGAGTGCATGCATTTTTTGAGAATTTGACTTTTTATGATAAATACGAGTATAAAAATTGGTGTCAAAGATAATCAAAATAACACAGATTTTAATGTAAGTAAAATATGAATCGATAGTAAAAACAATAGTCTTGATTGTTAGTTATAATATTGATTCACATCCTAATAGCATTAAATGCATCAATATCTTTTATAATATTATCAATGAAAGAAATGATAGTAAAATTTTGTCCTAAATTTATTACACCCGATAGTTATATTAAAGACTAACACATATTGAAAAATAAAACATGTCAGTGTATCTACAAAAGCTTGGAAACAAAAGACAAGAAATTTGATGAATAATAAATGGCTTGTTATTGGCATTGGGAGATGTGAGAGTATACATTCCTATATTCCACATCCCGTTTTTGCTGGATCCGATTGTAAGTTAACGTGAAATGATGCATAAAGTCTAATAGAATTTACTAGCATACTTGCAAAATATGCTGTTGATTTTTGTGAATGGTGAACACTTCTTCAAAAAGATAAATTTAGTGCTCGTCCATATACGCTTCATACATTGGTTAACAAACAATCAACATATTTGTATTTACAGGTTTTATGTATGTTCGTTTTCCTCAAGCGTCACAAGTATTTGGTTGCTTAATAAGAGTGGAGTGCAAGTGTGAAAAAAGATAAAACTCAAGCCTATCGGTCATTACAATGCATACAACATTAGTCGATATTGTCATTTGATTTCTAATGTTGAAAGAAAAAAACGAACATTCATTGAACTTTTTTATGTTATAGCTATTGTTTCTAATATATAGTAAGAGGCAATCGAGGTAATAAGTTTTTATTTGTCAAAGAAGAGGATGAGAGAAAATGTATCCCATTTCACTTTCATAGAAAAACACGTCAAACAAATGAATAGACAGATAGAACCACTGTAAATATATGAAATTGTTATCATCTGTTTGTTTCTGTCACATTATTCATATTTTGATTAGCTTGATGGTGAAATTTTAAACTTAGCTTGAATTGCCCAATGATCTGAGCAGAAGCGTTGAATTGATGGAATCATTTGCTGACCTTTCAGTTTGAAAGAAGCTGGGCTCAAATTGAACATGGTCGATCTTGCCGGTCGAAAGTAGAGTCGATCGAAACGAAAACGAGGTGGATTACTAGATTCAAAACTTAAATTTGTATTCCATTTCATGTCCCATGTATAGGCATATCTTAGGTTTTGGCCAGTCTCGATCCATACATCGTAGATGCCTGTCGGAATATCGCCCGCTTGTCTGAGCTAAAATAAAAAACAAAAACCGTATATGAGATATAGTACAGCGAATTAAAATGTTGATATCAGTAAGCGATGCACTGTGATAGTCCAAGGATGGTGGAGGATAATTAGCACAAAGTTATTTTGGAAATTATTCAAATGTATTTTAAGCAATGAGAATATATGAAGACCAAGATATTAGATTGAATTTTGTACTCGAATACCCAACAGAACCAATAGTTATCAGTATCAAAATTAAATGTAACCAGATGTGAAAGATCTTTCCTTCACTATTGTTAAAATTTATATTGTTCAACTAACACGATTTCAATAAATATTATGTTCTAATTGTATAAGATTTTATCCTTTTGAATTCAGACATTATTGTTAAACAATGTCACTCACTTCGTTATCATGAAGGTTTAAATCGCCACCAAAAAAGACAATTCGATTTCGTGAAGCTTCGAGCATCTTTCGAAAGCAATACTTCAATTGTCGAATGCGTTCATGAGCTTTTGGTTTAAGACTTTCCAGATGAGATGTCATCAAATCGATCTTCATGCCACCGTTATAGATAGCCTATAATGTATTGAAGGTTATTGTACTAGATTTCAAACCTATCGATCAAATGACAGACGTGCACGATTAACAAATTTCGATGCATAGTTGTAGATGAAAAAGGAATCCACTTCGTAATTTTCTACATTGATTGTGGACCGTCGGGTTAAGATGACTACGAAATAGCCTCTCCTGTTGCCTGAAAGATGGCATGACATTTTTTCTCAAGCGTTGCATGAATTAACTTACCCGTATACGATTTGTATTCGGGTAGGAGAGTACGAAGCAATTCAAGCGATTGCGGAATCACTTCTTGAAGGAAGACAACATCAGGTTGTTCTCTAGAAATTCATGCGAAATATATTTGTGACATTATATCCCATAATTACCGTTTAATAACGTCAATAACTCCACGCGTTCGCGCTTTTAACGTTTCATGCAAACGATCTAGACCATCGATATTCCATGAAAGTAATTTGAAATGTTTCTCCATTGATGAATCACTTTAGCAATATATTAACGATAGCACACGATTTTGTTTGCTGAGAGCAGTGTTGATCAATCACATAGATGATAATAGGATAAAAGACTAGACAAGGCGAATAGGGAATGATAAGAATACAAAATGTTTGATTTTTGAATATTGGCTTTATTGTTATGCTCGGAAGCGCTTACGTAGGAATATGAATATATAATTTAGAAGCATAGCATCTACGAACGTAGAGCAACATGCGTAAAAATTTCATCGATGCGGCAGTAGGCTACAATATATCACTCAACAATATGATGAAAAAAAGATGATAATATAATGGAAAAAAACTACCAAAGAAAACGAGAACCAATAAAAGAAAGAAGTGAGGAACAGAAGAAGAACAAACAAACAAAAGGAAGACGGATGAAAAAAATATTGAAAATGGCAGATAAAAAGAGGCATATGGATGCACATGTAAGTATTCAGTTGATAAACTCAATCCATACAAGGAGCAGAGTTTCGTATCTGTCTTGCAGTTTTCCACTCTTTTCATCCGAAAGAAGTGCCCAATATCTTTTAGCGTAAAAATCGAAAGAATCTTCTGTTGTCACAGAGATTAAGTTCTGTTCTGATACAAATGGACACCGATGCACGATTTTCATTCCTACTCGATATTTTTGCTCAATGTTTCTTGATGAGTTTTTGACAGAAAAAGAAATAGAGGAAAAAGTCAGACAAGATGCGAAAAAGTATGAGCAAAAAAGCATGTGCGTAACACTGACGTTTAATACGAAATGTTATTCAAATAACGTATTTAGAAAGTTGTCGCTTGAATATTTTTTTTCCTTTACCTGAAAATTTGAGTCATCTAGTATATTATTGCGTGTTTCGTTTTTCCTTTTCTTTCTTTCTGTATTTTTTCATATATGAAATAAAAGTTAGCATGTGTGAGTAAGAGTGCAGGTAAGCATGTTTTATTACACATGACTCCATGCAAATGTATTATATTTTTAAATACATTTGAAACATACTGAATTACATTTATTGTGAAATTTTCAAAATATGTTTGCATCATCTGTAAAAATACAAACGAGTTTCTTGAAATACTTACGTTCAAATAAGCTCAAATTACTTATAAATTACGTCTGAAGCCAATCATGTTCAGCGTTTCATCTGATCACGATTATAACTATAGACAATTTTAAATGTAATATGAGTCAGACGGTCCCTATCGAAAACGCGCACTCGTGCACATCTATCCTATTGACACTTTGATGCTCTTCATTTCCAGTTATACATTTAAAAGCAGTCTATTAGTCTTCACGATGTCGTTAAGATGCATTTGAGCGGGTTTCTTAGTTTGAATGTTCCATAATAACTGACGATAAATTAGTTTTGATATTTTTTCTTGATGTAGAGGGCTAAGATTTTTATCGCATATATACTAAATGAAGATCTTTTATTTCTGAAATTTTCAGCTCTCTAGCTAAAACTAGTGATGAAATGCAACGAGAAGACTGAAATATACAAATTTTCGAAAATGATTATTTTCAATATTTTTTTACTGTGAAAATATTGCAAGGCAGTTCCGTGGGCAGTCAACCAAAAAATCACAAAGTATTCAGAAAATTTTATTTTGTATCAAACCTTGTAGAGCTTCTTTCGTTGATCATTTTGGTAAAAAAGATTTCGAATTTCATTGAGAAATGACGATGTTATAAACAAAATACTAAACACTGTAAAATCTAAGTAAAAGTCGATTGACATATCGCAAAATGGCTATATTCTGGAGGAATGTGACAAAGTAGGTTTTGTAAAGGAAACTTTGCTCTGCAAAACTCTATAATTGGTTTCTTAGATACAAGCAAATAGTGTAAATAAATCTCGATTAAACATTGTATACGATATTGTTATCAAAAAAACCTGACATCTTCTGTTTTTTACGATAAATATTTTGACTATAACATTGTCATTTCTTAATGAAATTCGAAAAGTTTTTTTACCAAAATGATCAGTGAAAAACGTTCTACAAAGTTCGATACGAAAACAAATTTTCTAAACACTTTGTGATCTTTTGGTTGACTACCTACGAAACTACCTTGGAATATTCAGTACGAAAATTTATTTATTTCAATCTTGTCGATGCATTTCGTCACTACCTTTTGCTAGAAAGCTGAAACTTTCAGAAATGGAAAATAATGATTAGATATATAGGTGATAAAAATTTTAGCTCTCTAGGTCAAGAAAAAGTGTAAAATATGTCAAAAACAATTTATTGTCAGTTATTATGGAACACCCTTTATGTGAGCATATTACATTCTCGGGAAATTCATTGATATCATGCTTACCTCTTGGCACTACAGGATCACAAAGGACGGGAGACGTTTTGCGTTGAAATCGGCCCCCCTAGAAAGCACTTATAGTTTTACATGAAACTTTCAGCAATTGTAGGGTTCATAGTCAGTAATCATTCCTATAAGTTTCAGCTTGATCGGTCAACCTTTTCCGTTACATTGGTACTCAGCCATATAGGCCGTATTGAACCTTCTAAGGATCAAAGAATCACTTATTTTAGACGAAGTATATACATGCTTTCACAGTCGATTTACATNTCTATATTATACACGAACTTGCTAAATTCTATCAGTCCGTTAGGAGGTGTTTCGGTAGTGGCAGATCAAATCTGTTCATGTATTTGGTATTGAGGAATGGTGAAGCTTTTATGAGTCGAAAGTTCAAGTTGATGTATGCCAAATTATTGACTCATATTTTTACATAAGAAATTAGGAAAGTTCTTAAAAAATGGCTAATTGACTGACCAACTTTCTTTTCTACGTTATTCTTCATGAGAAACGGGCCTAGTTTAAAAATTTCTATTTAATTCTGAAGAGTGAAAGATGACAGACACATCCATATTGTTTTATCGAATAACATTCTTAGAAAATCTTAAAGGAAAGAACGCATAGTTTTTCGTTCAGTACTCACAACTGTATTTTCACTAAAATAAAAAAGCAAACAATGATTAGCTGCCATTGTATGTAAAATGTCGAGTTACTCATCTACTTTTTCTCTGTTTCTTCTTTCTTCGCCTCCTTTTCTCTGCTTACTCGTACAACAATCAAATCAAACTTGAAAGATTTGGTTGTTCTTCCATCATCATAAATCTGGAAGAATGTACAAACAAGGATGACTGCTAACAATATTTGTTTGATTAACATGTTAATCAGCAGAACCGAATGGAGAAGTAATATTACAATTCATTGGATTTTTTTAAATTTTACTCATAGGCGGCGGAGCGTATAGGCCTGAAAGGCATGAGCCTCATCTGAATTGGGCACTATTAGGCTCAGCCTCACCTGAATTACGACCGTAATGTTCAGCCACTCGAATCTGGCGTTGTTTGGATAGACAGAACTAATTGCAGTGCAGAAAATTGAACTTTCTACCTGTTTATCTATTTATCGAGATGAAAAAAACTGAAAAATTGATATGGCAATAAAGTTCACTGTATAACCTAGTCGAACATCTTGTAACCAAGATACAAGGTACAGAAATGTAAACAGATCTTGAAAATTTAGGTACAGGATAATTATATTATCTTGTACTAAGATCTGTAATAAGATCATGGATACAGATCTTTAAGATCTTGACTGAAATACATGTGGTCCCAAAATGATCAATGAAATTCATATATGGGTGCCTTTAAAGACTTCTGAAGTAGTCTTTCCGATGTAAAATTTGACGCTGAATATGAATATGAAGTCAGATTTACTCTACAGACATAAGGATCTAAATTAGAGACCAATGTTTTATTCAAAAAATGTTCAAACCCATCGTCCTCATGAACATCCTTTAAGAAAGATCATGTTTTCTTGAACCATTCAGCACGGTACGGTTCCTACCAGTGGCAAATCAATCTTTAGTAGCTACTGTTAAGTCAAGATCTTGAACCAGATTTTAAGATCTTGGGCAAGAAACATCCATTTTTTATATCTGAATTGTATTTATAGAACTCTGTACCCAAGATCTGTTCACTTTTCTGTGCCTTGTATCTCGGTCAAGATCCTACTTACAAGATGTTCGACTAGGGTATACCGCCATGACTTTTAGCGGCACCTTTTCTTTTTATTCATAGAAAGTGGCATGTTCAATAAATCGATCATAAAATGATGTGTTCAAAATATAATATATCTGTATCCGAGCATCTGCGTTCTCTTTCGTGATGTTATCATTCACTTAATATATTGAGTCGAAATACAGCTCTACCAATTAAAACTATGGCAAAAATATTAAATAAATATAGTTTTAAAATAATTGATTTCTACGCTTCGCTGGATTTTGATCTCTCGTATTTTATGGACCCATGTGACATCATGAATCTTTTAGGATAGTGGGTAGCGATAGCATTCATAATCTTCAAGATACTGTTTCGTCGTAATGCATATTTGATCAGAAAAAATATTTTCTTTCGAGTAAAATATCAGCGTTCATATTTGACGTTAGAAATATCAAATGT